TGCCGAACCGTAACTATAATATTAATCATTATAGTTTGCTCTTGCAAATTTTATCCGACAATATCGCTATGGTTCACCATATAAACATTACTTTGTTATATATGTAATTATAATTGGAAAAATAGTTGTTATACCAGTAATAAACCAACATAATTCGCTTGTGCCACGCCACTGTAAACATACTAATGGTCCATTATGGTTCGCCTGTGGAACCATAAATTATAACATAAATCATTATACTTTGGCCACTCATGATGCTCTACATGATTCGTTGTGTGGAGTTCCTGTGACATAATGACAAACATACTAACGGTTCATCATGGTTTGCCTGCCGAACCATAACTTATAATATAAATCATTATATCACTATGGTTCGGCATATAAACATTAACTTGTTATTGTAATTATAATTCGGTCAACTGAATTTTTAATGAAAATTAACAAATAAAAAGAGTCATTACCTTCACAGGGATATATAAACAACACCTTTGTTTTTTCCAAAAATCGTATATACCTAAATCAAATTTGAGAAAAAAGTAGTTGTTATATCAATAATAAACAGACATAATTTGCCTGTGCGACGCCACTGTAAACATACTAATGGTCCATTATGGTTCAACTAGCGAACCATAAATTATAACATAATTCATTATACTTCGACTGCTCATGATTCGCCTGCCGAACCATAACTTATAATATAAATCATTATAAATGAAAAAAATATTAAAAATAATTGGAACTGGCAAGAACATCACATGTTAACATATAAAAATTACAATATCGAATAACTTTACCTTCACCAAGATATATAAGTAGCAGCAGCTTTGTTCCTTCCACAAATTGTATATACCTATATGAAATTTCAGGAAAAAGTAACTGGCATGAACATAAGTGAAAAAAAATAAACAATAAACTGGCAAGAACATGACATATAAACATATAAAAACGAAAAACTATACATTTGTTTCTTGTTCAGTTTTTGGTTGGTAATAATGTACCAAATTATACAAATAATTACATATATATACTATTTACATCCAATTAAAATATACAACTCTTTCACATTCTCATAAATATCTGTAACCGTTTATATTAAAGAGCAACACATAACACATACAATGTAATAAAATAAAAACTTATCAAACCATTCATATACACAAACCCCCTAAATTCACATAAATGCATTGTGAATAGCATACAACGTATAAAACCTCTTACACTCACAAAAATTTATAAACAAACAGCAATAAATAACGTTCTGTGTATAAGGTTGTGTAAATGTAAATATTTTTTGTTAATGTAAAACAAACAACAATAAATAAGGTTATTAAAATCTGTCATTAATGACAAACAATATGAAACACCAATTTCATGAAATCACATATACCATAAAGTACAACTCATCAATTTATGCTACATCATCATCAATAAAATCCAACCAAATGTAAACAATCTACATTATCACCAATCAAATCCAACCATGTGTCGGGCAATCTACTGACGTGTCAAAATAAAAGAATTTTAACCCTCAAAATGGCAATCATATAGCTTATGACTAGAGGTGGAAAAGCAACCCGCCTGGCCCACGGCGGGTTGCTATTAATGGCAGGTCGGTCTTGACCTGCTCAGTGACATTGGCGGGCCGTGTAGGCCCGCAATATTAAGGAATGGCTGGTCCAAACCGGACCGCCAACCCTAACCGCCGGGTTAGGCGCGGGTTGGTCGGGTTAACCCGCTTTTTGATTTATTTTTTTGATTTTGTTTTGTTTTATTTGTTTAAGTTTAAATGTTTAATTAAATTTTCAAAGAACTAATTAACAATTATAAATGAATAAATGTAATTGTTTTAGTTAATGTTAATTTCTTTTCAAATATCAAAATTAAATTAAATAATTTTTTTTTTTAACATTCCAAATATTAATTCAATTACTACATAAAATTGTAATATAAGAATAATTAAATATTTAATTTATTAAAAAATAAATAAGAAATTACAATAATTATTGCCTTGTTAAAAAACTCAACAAGAAAAAACCCAATAGGACAAAAAGTTGGTAAGGAAAAAAGTGCAATAATTGACAATTAATTGTCAAGTTACAATTTACAAAGCAACTAATTTGGGATTCACTAGGACCTCCCTCATCCGTATCATCTATATTACAAAATTGAAATGATTTATTAAAAGTTCGTTGACAACCTCGTATTGACCTGATGCGCGACCGTTCCAATCTCGAAGACATGTGAGGACTTCAATCATTTGTGGTGAAAGTTTAGTTCTCCTTTCATTTAAAATTCTTCCGCTTGCCACTAAATTTTTGTTTGGATGAGATGGTTGAGACAGGAACAGCGAAAACATCCAAGGTAAGTCTTGATAATACCGGAAAAATACATTTTCTGGCTCTCCAATAGTCTAAGAGATCAATGTGGCTCTCTATTGTGGATCTACTGGTAACATTTCACGGTTTGCCAAATATGTTGAAGCTCATTACTCTGCGACTGCATGGAAGACAATACATTAGTGTTGTTGTTGGTGGAGCTTCTGAAGAGGAGGTTGGCTTCGCATTGGGTCTTCTTTGACCTATTCAGTGCACACCCAAGAGTAGAAGTCTTCATTTGTTTCTTCTGATGCAGCTTCCTGGATGTTTTGCCTCTTTGCGGGTTCCCATACCTATTTTCATACTAGAAATATACTTCAAAAAGTGTATTTTTTACCTCTCCTATTGATTGGCATAGCTTCGGTTTGTAAATTTTCACATAAATTGTCAAAACCATTCAAACTGGTAATTTAATTCTAGGATCAAAATATGGACCTAAACATAAAGAAAATGAATGGGTCCCAATATTAAAAAAAAAAAAAAATTCCATTGCCTTATTGGTGCATTTAAAAATTACATTGTCTTTGTTTTTATAAATAACTCAGAAATTTTATAATGTATGTATTACCAATGGACTAGTAGGATAATACACACCAGAAAGTTGTAAAGGGATTGGTAAAACGTTTTTAAGAAAAGAATGAAATATCTTAGTTATTTGCCATAATTTTCTACCCAAATAATGAGGACCTCTATTATTTTGTTACAAAATAACTAATTATATTAGCATAAGGTAAACATGAATCAAGCATTAAATAAGTACTATTTCATCTAACATGCATGTCTAATGCAAAAGTTCTAGGAGACATATTGATTTTATACAATCGTCTTGAAATTCAACATTTCTTTTATTACTACTAGTAATCCAAGCTAAACGATTCAATCTATTAATATTTTCTTTAATTGTTTATACCACTTTTCATAATTAAATTAATAATATGGCATGCACAACGTTGGTGAAAAAACTTCAAATTGTTATATAAAGGATAATTACTTTGAAAATAATATATAGCTTTACTATTAGAACTTGCATTATCTAAAGTTAAACTTATCACTTATAACAATATCATAATTTTCTAAAACTTCAACACTTTTATTATAAATTGTTCACCACTATGATCAAATCATATTAATCTAAATCCTAATAAAGATTTATTTAATTTACATTCATTATCAAAATAAAGACTAGTCACACAAATATAATCTTGTTTAGCTCTACCACTTCAAATATCGGCAGTTACAGCCACACTAACATAACAAGTATGGATTTTATTTTTAATTCTAATTTCATTTTTTAAACAATTTTATTAATCATTTCTAGTTGCAGTTTTAGAAAACTTTTAAATCCTGGAAAAAATGAATTTTGAGCAAATCTTTCAAAATATTTATCTTCAGCCATATTAATAGGTTGATCAGTTGTAGCAAATATATAAAGCTATTGTTCCCTATATACATCAGAATTATAACGCCAATTAGTAACATATTAGTTATTTGAGTTTGATGCTACTCTATTCCATGTTGATTAATATGTTTATTAGCATGCCTTTTTAAAGTATAGTCATTACCTGAATCAGCTTTAAAATATTTCCACAGTATTTGCATCCGCTTTCGACTTGAACGTCATTTTCTATCTCGTAAAACTTGTTGAATGGGCCAAACATCTAATGTGTGTCTGTCTTCGCTTTCGACGGCAGTGATGACCGCCTCAGCTTGAGATGAAGTTGGACGAGCACGACGATTACGAGGGCGACTTCTAGAACCACCTGGAGTGTTGGAACGGGGGCATATTTTGAGGTGTATCGGATTTTGAGAGTGGGAAAGCAGGACTATTTGAATCTCCTCCTGCATTTATGTTAGTAAAATCAACGGGACTAGGACAGGATAGTAGTTTCCGTCATCATTATAATTGATGTAGATAAATATTATCCATTGTAGTTGAAAAAAAAAATTGATGTAGAATAAATAAAATTAAAGAAAGAGATTGGATATGGAAATTGGGATTTGGAAATTATAAAAATATGAATTAAAAATTGCAAAAACTAATAAAAATTAAAATATGAGAATTGATAACAAAAAGATAAGAGAATAAATGAATAATTGAGAGATTAGAGGTAGAGATTAGAGATTAGAGAATATGAGAGAATGGAGAATTGAGTTGTGAGAAAAATGAGAGTTTAGGGCCAAAATAGAAAAAATGGGATAGAAAAATGACGAAAAAGACACTCTTAACGGTTATATTCAAAGGTAAAGGGGTAATTTGAAAAATAAAATAAAATTTTTTTATTTTTTTATTTTTGGCTAGCCAGTCGGGTTGAGGGTCTCTTGCAAAGAGACAAAACAGTAACCCGCCGGGTTGTGGGTTGCCATTGTGCAACTCGGCCCGCCTGGGGATTGTTGCCGGGTTAGGGTTGACCCGTCTAACATGACCCAAATGTTTCACCTCAACTTATGACTAAAGATATATATATATATATATATATATATCTGTGTGTGTGTGTGTGTGTGTGTGTGTACACGCACGTGTGGACGAATGTGTGTGTGTGTGTATACACGCACGTGTGGACGAATGTGTGTGTGTGTGTGTACACGCACGTGTGGACGAAGCAGATAGAGCGTGTGGAACCTAAGCCGATCTCTTCAACTTCTGCAGATAAGGCATTGTTTCACTCAGTGTCTCAAAATCCTCACGAGAGTTCACACTCACAGTGTCACCATGGGCTCCCAAGTTCTTCCGCAGGTAATTTCTCTCATAATACGCTTATGCTTAACTTCTTTTTATTTCTTTCCATTTTCGAAACCGTTTAAGCGTTTTCTTATTGTTCGTGTTAAGGTTATGCATATGATCCCGATAAATTCTTCTCAATCTCTCCCTTCAAAGAAGCTAGGGTTTTCGACTGTTCTTTCTCTTGGGTCCTACAGCGGTCATAGGGTTTCCGTGTCTAAAGTTTCGGCGAGGCCAGTTGGGTGGAATTTGGGCTTGTTTGTAAATGCACCAATGAGAGGCGACTTTGCGGTGAGGGCGGAGTCTAATGAAGTGGAAGCGAGTGAAAGTGTTGAAGAGAAGGAACGGGATGTTGTTGAAGCAGAAGGAGATGGTGAAGAAGCAGAAGCCGAAACCGAAGCTGAGGAAGAAGTGAAAACACCGAGAAAGCCCATTGTTAAGCTCGGAGATATAATGGGGGTAATAAGTTTATCAATTGCAGCTGTTTTATTTGTTTTTGTTAATGATTTGTTTCGTTCTCGGAAAATGCGGGAAACCGATTTTTCTAGAAAATGGGTTCTTTTTAATTGGGGTGCATTTCCTCTTTTTGGTTATGAAGTTAGTTTAGGGTCAGTGAAGTTGGAGTTTTATGTAAATTTCAACTGTGTTTCTATATTTTATGTAGATATTAAATAAGAGGGCAGTTGAAGCATCTGAGAAGGAAAGACCGATCCCAGATATTAGAACGGGTGATATCATTGAGATTAAATTGGTAATGTTTGTTTCTGATTCTCTTTACTAGGTTCTTGTTGTACCATTTAAACAGAATTTATGAGATTTTTGGTTTATGTTGTTGACTTACAGGAAGTTCCTGAAAACAGGCGTAGGTTGTCCATTTACAAAGGGATTGTTATGTCAAGACAAAATGCCGGTATCCACACTACCATTCGAATCCGTAGGATTATTGCCGGTATAGGGGTGGAGATCGTGTTCCCTCTGTGAGTATTTCTTTTCCATTAACACTTAATTTCATCAACAGTATTTATTTTTATTTTATTAGAGGATTTATTTCATGCATGACTCTGGGCAAACAATTCTTCTGATTGACTAGTGAGCCTGTGTTAACATATTTTGTGTTTCATATCAGTTGAAAATAAATTGCTGAAGTGCAGGAAAAGTCCTTTGTGGACAATGCCTGCTTTCTCACTCCCTCCTTCTCTTAGCATATGTTTTCTCATAAAATATATAATAAATAGGAATTGTGATGTCTTGATTGTTTTTGGATGTTGTCCCTTTTACAGCCTATTCTAGAGCTCTGAAGTTGGGGGGCTCTCTTTCTCTCTGTCTTTTTTTTTAATTCTTTTAAATGTATTTTTTTTTTTAATTTTAATTAATATTCTTTGTGGGAATGAGGCGACCCCCAGGAGCATAGAAATTCACGGAATATGATTTAGTCAATTATTTGTGATAAAATAGGAACAAGGGAGGGTTCCAATGGACTGAAGAATCAATAAAATTTCCCTTACCCTTCCTTCACCAGCCACAGTGTTGTAATTGTGTTAGCCATATCAAAACTCTTACTTTGTTGTAATCGTGATAGTATACCAACACTCTTATTTTGCTTGTGGAGTTAACATATTGCTTCTATTAATGAGGAGCAAGTTCTGGTAAGATGAGGTGTTCATTTATCAAACCCTTTCTTTTTTTACTAGCGAAAGAGTTAGGACTTTAAGACTGGTTGTTCTTTACATTATTGGCTTGATTTCACCAACTGAAACATGCAGCATTTCGAGGCTTCATATGTATGTCCTCATCTTGCTGACTAACATTCTGCACCTTTTCTTTTCTCTTCTTCTCTTAACCACAGCAAGCTAACATCCAATGATTATTGTGGAATAGGCTCCTTAGTTCCACGGTGATTGTGCTATTCTGTTATTTTAAGCTAATTTGCTATCATTCAAAGAATGATATGTGAGATAGAAGTACAGAATCAGTGTCTGTACATGTAAAATTGGGCTCCTTTGAATTTGGGAACCTTTTGTTTCTATGTTTCTTTCATATTCTATTTAAATTGGAAGCAGAAAAGGAAAGAACAATGAGGAAGTCACCTATAAATGATCCATCTTTTGTTATTGCAGTTACTCACCAAACATTAAGGAGATAAAAGTAGTCAAACACCGGAAAGTCAGGAGGGCACGGCTGTACTATTTGAGAGACAAGCTTCCTAGATTCTCCACTTTCAAATGAGACCACTAATGTTTGTGCCTTCAACAAAGTTTCCCCGAACCTGAGATATTGTAAAAGCTGTAATTCCTTATTCCATTTTTTTTATCCTTTTTGCCTTAATCTAAAAGAAAATTGTAAGCATAGATGAACCAAATCATCATTCTCAGTTTACGCATCAATAATTTCAGGCTTCCAGTATATCTTTCTAGCCAATGTGTTACACTTTTGATACAAGGCAAACATTTGACCCTTGAGCTGCTACAGTGGCGAAAAAGGGGTATCATTTTGCAAATGATTGCGTCTGAGAATTATGATAGCTTGAGTTGGTAAAAACATTCAGAAAGAGAATTACTTTTGTACTCCCATGGATCTTATCCATATATGTGCTTAATTAGAACACTTAGTTTACTTAGAAGCAAAAACATGAAGATAGTGTTTGAAAGCGAAGTCATAAATTGGAAACTGCCGCTCTAAGCTTAGTTTTAAGTTTTAAAGAAAGCAAATGTTTAATATTATTGCTCTTTCAGGTTTCCAGCTAGAGCATCTTGGGCTGTTTACTATGACATTTTATATGCGTCCTCTAAATCTTCACCCGGACAATATCTTGATAATAGATCAAGATATTACGAAGGGGTAGAAAGTAGAAACAAGCATAAGGGATAACAAATTACCTTTATTATAAGAGTTAACGTATGTTTCCTACTCAAATAATGGCTTAATAACAATTTTTCACCTATAGGCTTTTAAAATATCATTTTATTATTTAAATTTATATTTCTGCAGTGAACATGGAATAAACTGTAACAACTTCATTCTACTCATATTCTTTTAAAATATATATAGTAAAAATACATGTAAGATAACATAAAAAGTTGGGTTCAAATTTTTCTTTTATTAAACATATACATTTTTTATACAAAAAGTTATATCATGTACAAAACTATCAAAAACAGGGTGGACAGTGCAGCCATTTCTCCTCGCGTGCCGACGTTCATCCAACTGTGTCCTCACCTAGGTCTTGCAAAAACATAAGGAACAACGGGGTGAGCACAAAACAATGCTCAGTAAGTAAATCCTCAACTCATCTATCCCCGTAACTCTCTCTAATTCTTTCCTTACAATTCTCATTTACTCTCTCTTTTATACTTCTCTCTGTTTTCTCTTTCTCGTAACTCTTTTCTACTAACTCTCTTTAGTAAGTCACGGTCCCATCTTACCGGAGGCACGGTCGGGACTCGCTCCCGCTCTCTGTGACTTCTACTCATTCTAGTCGATTGGACTCGGTTATGCATGGATTCGGAACCTTTGGCCATGTGAGTGTATAACTCTCTCTCGGGTACTCTTGGGTATAGCCCTTATCCGCATGTACTCTCACGGGCTACACCACTTCTCTCTCTTATACTCATGCCGCTCTCTCAATACGGCGTACATGCGGGAATACTCTACCCATACTCACAGGTTCCCCATCGCACAACCTACTCTATTCTCTTGATTAGCACTACTTTCTCTTTGTTCTCTAGTGCTCATTCTTTCTTTCTCTTTACTCTTAGAGTAGCTTATACTCAATTTCTCTACTCTCTTTCTCTAATGCATAATTAATGCATAATTACTACATATAGATGACTCATGCTCATTAATGCACTCATGAAATGCAATTGTGCCATGTAGCAAAAATTAAGGCTTTCTATTCTTACTCATGCTTTTCTTGAGCATTTCATCATACAACTCATGTGCATATAAAACTCTACTTTAGCAATAACTTTTCTCTTCTTTTTAATCATCCAAAATAGGAGAAAAACTCCCTCATACACTCTAATTCCCTGTCAAAGGAAAACATTTCTATAAAGTTTACTCAAAACTTCCTTCAACTTCAATCAAAACTCACTCAACATCATAAAATCTTAACACTTCTCATAGAGGAAATACATCCAACAAACTCAACATGAATACTCATCTCAATTCAATTCATCAACAAGTAGACATATCTCTCTACTCAATTTCTCTATAAACATCATATGTACATACATAAAGAAATCTCTACTCAAAGACTTTCTCAAATCTCAACTTGGTTGGATTTACTTACCTTGTGAACAAGTGACTTCTCTAGCACTTTTCCTTCCCTTTTGTAGCTTGATTTCTCTCTACAACTTTAAACAACAACAACACAACATAAGACTTTAACCAAAACATAAGAAATTCTCATCCAAAGCAAGAATCCTTACCTTAGGATGCTTTAGATTAATTCTCTACCAACTACTCAAAAAGCCCCTAGAATCTTTGAAGATTGAAGAACTTGAGAGAAAATGGGGAATGGAGGCGGTGGAAATGGGAAATGAAGGGCTTTCTAAGACTAACCCCTAAATATCTCATAACATACCCATTCTTCCCATTTTGCCCTTGCCTTTTCTTGGAAATCCATCCAAATCCTTTGATTCATTACAAACACACCCCCATACTAACATATTCTCCCTTAAATTTTCTTACATTTTACTCCCCTTTTCCTGCTAATTAGGGGTAAAATAGTCAAATAGCCTCTAGGAAGAAAATATCTAAAACTCAATAAACTTTTTAGCCGTCCTGTCGCCATGGCGAAGAACTTTCTTCGCCCCGGCGAATTACAGCAGCTACACCGGGTTGTAGCACCTCTCGCCGCGCAAGCCTGTAACTTCAAAATTCCTCAAATCTCACATTCCAAGGCAATTACTGAACAATAACAACATATAACTTAATTGAAGCTAAATCAATGAACAATTAAGCAATACAGCGAATCTTACCTATGTATCTCAAGTGGGGCGTTATTAAACTCGATCCAGACTCTTAAGGCTTTAAAAAGGGGAGACTGATGATTCCTTTGGTGGTGGAAGGTTAGATTTTAGTGATTGAGATTGATCAGAATTTGACTTGGGAGGAGCAGCTACGTAAACTCTAATCGCTCGATTGCCGATAATTGACGAGGTCGACGGTAGTAGGTTTGAGAGGTTTTGTTGAGTGATGATTGGGGAGAAAATGATGGTGGTGTAAGGTTACAACATACTAGAATAAAAAATAGAATGTAAATTGTAAAGTTGGGTAATAATGGTTTTTAAAAGTCGATGGGCGAGAAAGTGTCATTAAGCCGTTTTTGTGTGCGGAAAAGCATTTACTCTATAATATAATAAAATTCCTCTTATTAAAAAACAGTAATAATAATTATAAATTCCTTAAATCGCGGGGCAGAGTCCTTTTCTGTAATTTGATTATTTAAGTTGTGGGGGAGGGAAGGGAAAGGTTAGTATAATGACTCAACACCTAAGCTCAACGGGGACACGTCAGACCTAAACTTTACACCCATGTGCCCCTCCATTGGGTCCTATTCCAGTCTGTTACTTTTGAACCGGACATCACCTTCCTACTATGCGACACGTGTCATCTCTCTCTTTTCTCTCTGTTTCTCCCCTTCTCATTCAGTCCCCCATCACCATTTTCGTAGAATCACTGAGTGCACAGAATCACCGTACTACCACTCGTTTAACAGAATTCCGAGTTTCATCTCCTTAGGACCCACCTGAAAGAAAGAGAAAGACCCGACTTTTGTGGCGAAATCATCGGGCCACTGCTACGGTTGTTTGAACCGAGAACTTCTGTTTCACCACGGTTAGTTTCTCTCTCTCTCTCTCTCTCTCTTTTTCACCTCACTTTGATTTCTCTTAGCATTTTGTTTGGCACTCGTAATTCTATTAATTTATTATTTTCTATTCTAGGACAGTCTTCTTTCTATTTTTGCTCCATGGATTAGGGTATAAAAAAATTTGGTTGACTTAGGGTTTTGCTTGATTGTTTTGTTGAGTGGTTGTGTTGTGTGGCAGTTTGTAAATTGATTGAGTAATTATCCAGAGACGAGAAAATTTGATTGATCTGAAGGTGGGACCCAGTCTGACTGCCGGTGGTGGTAATCAATTGATCTCTGTCATCCAGACGAGCTCTCAGTTCATTTGTATGTTTTCTTTGTCCATTTTATCGTATTCTTCTGTATATGAAGTTGAATGTGATTGTTATTACCCCTACAAGTTTTATGTGTGTATTAGTTGTGTGTAGAAGAGGAATTCGAAGTCATTTGAGCACTTTATGACTAAAGGAATTATGTATGGATATATGTGTTGATTACCAGTAACATCATTTGGGGTAGTTGATGTGCAAGATTTATAGAGGGATGAAAGTGGAGATTCCTGCATAATGGAAGTTATAGATGTATAATTTTAGGACAAAATGAAGAAGAATTTGGTAATGTTTTTAGACTTTGACAATGAGACCCTTTATCATCACTTTATTTAATAATGTCGTGCTTCCTTTGATTAGAATCCTAGGTTCTTGATTTTGGTTATCTTGCGCTTTCCAAATGCTATGCTATTGTGACCTCTTTGGAGTTAGATGGTCAAGGTTCCCAGCTCAGACCTAAAGTGGGAACTTTTAGTAGTTATTTTACTCTTTGATTTGATCTTATGATGATATCGAGAGTTGCATAGGAATAAAAATGCTGGTGGTTTGTACGATTGGGTTTTTCTGTGCCTTGGATTTTGAGTGCTTTCCAAGATTACTTTTCCTTGCATAAAGTGTTCTGCAGTGCTTTTACTCATGTAGGTTTATCAAAATTCCATGCCTTTACCTGTAATTATAAAGACATAAAGCACAGAAGGTTAGAGGACTATCCTGTGATTTAACATGGGTGCTGAAATGTCGTATTAAATAACAAAGTGTGAGGCAGGTCTTACTTTCTTTAAATTCTAGTGTCCTAGAAGTAATAATGATTATTTCTTCATAAATGTATTGTTCTGATATTTGCTGTTCAATATAAATCTTCCGGGCTGATGATCATGAAATCATGTTGCAGTTGAACTAGAAAAACAAAGCTTTTGCGATCTTAAAGTTATGAACAATACAGAACATCATGTTGCTTTCAAGGTACTATCACTGATACTGCACAACTTTTTTTGTTTATGTATTTGTATTGCTCAATTTCTTATTGAATTTTTTTATGATCTTCACGGAAGTGTGCTATCTTTTCGCTAGGTCAAAACCACTTCACCTAAGAAGTACTTTGTAAGACCCAACACTGGTGTGAACAGCCTTGGGATTCATGTGTTATCAGAGGTGCTACATCCTATTTTCCATCTTGATAAGAACTTTCTTCTCCTTGGAGTAAAAATTGCAAATAATGGATGTCTTTAGGACAGACTGCTCAATATAGTTATGAACTTTTAAGGTGGATATGGATGTAAGCAGAGCAAAATAGCAGTTGGCAATAATAAATTTATGAAATAACATTGCAGATGTAGTTAGTTTTTCAATCTAAGGTATGTTTTAGCTGGCTTGTCCAATTATACGCCACTTCTTAGGGACTTATACTAGTTTACAGTTATTAATAAGCTCTGCCACTTGTTCCTTCGGTTTTTGACATGTATTTCGGCTTTAACTAACTGCTGGATTTGTAGTTACCCTCCAAGCACAGGTGAAGCTCCTCCAGATATGCAATGCAAAGACAAATTTCTCTTGCAGAGCGCAATAGTGCTTCCAAATACTGATGTTGATGAGCTTCTCCCTGATACTGTAAGAATATTGTGCATCGAATAATTTTGTTGCTCTATATTTATTTGAATTTATATTAAATTGTGCAAATTGTTCCATTTTGCATTCAGTTTAATAGGACAGTGGAAAGACAATAGAGGAGTGCAAGCTCAGAGTTGTGTATACTCCTCCTACTGCAGCTCAAGAAACTAGAAGATGAAGGCTTAGGGGCTCCACACGGAGTCCTGAGCAAACTCTGTGAGTTTAATAAATTCTGCTGTTTCTATGGTTGATTTTTGTAATTATTCTATGGGATTTGGCAGAATGTGTGTGCGCAGTATGTATGTCTGCATGCTCGCATGCTCATGCATCTGTTTGTTTATGCTTGTATTAGTGCCTATTTTTTGTTGTTCTTGTGGTTTGACAGACAAAGATTTTTAAATTCGGAAATTTTCATTTTGCAATATCTTTAATATATATTTCATCTGTTGAAATAGAAACTCTTGCAAGTAGTGCTTAGTTATACAACATCTCTCATTGTACTAAAACTAGCATGCGTACATGTTATCATTGAAGCCAAAAGATTGAGGTCAGCTGTTCATTATGCATAAATTGTATTATTTTAGGATATTTGGGAAGTTTTATTTTTAATGGTATATCCATTAAGGGCAGCTTATGGATGGGCTGTGGGGTTGGAAACTAAAGTTGAATAGATAAGTAAATTTGAAGTGTTGTGTGAATGGATGTTAACATACAAAATGAAGACGTGAAGTATCTCCAGTTGCCATTTCCTTTTTTTTCGTGTATCAATTGTTCATGTTCTAGTTGACTAAGTATTAGCACTAATCGGCAACTGGAGGCCGTTCTACTTCTCTTTCTTTGTCATTCAAGTTGTCCATTTGTAGATAGTTTACATTTGATATTTTCGCTTAATTTTCTTTTTTTCAAATCAAGCAGTTTAGAGAGTTGTTAAGTTGGTGAAGAATTCTACCTTTTGATTTTATTTAACTCCACCCTTCTCTGCTGGAGCAAGATAGATCGACGGGTAGAATTGTTTCAAAGTCAAAACCCAAGTTCCAAGAGCCTGACCCACCCACTGCAGACTTTTTTTTTTTTTTTTTTTTTTGGGTTCAGTCTGCCAACTTATTGATAGAGATCCTCCCAAAGTAGGAACCTATAGTACCAAAGTTAGTTAGACGTTAGAAAACCTACATACTACGTTTGTTAGATGTTCCTATAGTTAAAAACTATAGTACTAAGTTTGTTAGACGTTCCTATAGGTTTTAGGATTTTATTTGTTTTTATCTTTTACTTTAATTTAATTCTTTTGTTATTAGTTTCTTATTTCATTAGGAGAGTAATTTTCTTTCTAGTAGGATTGTAGGTTTTAAGCCTATTCTCTTTCTTTTCCTACATCAAGAGATGAGAAGAGAGAAATTGAGAGGGGGAAAAGAAGAAATTTAGGGGAGAAAATTCAATAATATATTTATTATCAGCATGAACAACACAGTTACAATTTAGGATCTATTAATGGCTTAAAACCTACTACAATCTTACTAGAACAAAAAATACTCTCCTATGAATAAGAGAACCTAATAACAGGAATTAAAATAAAGTAAAAGATAAAACAAAATAAATCTAAAATCTATAGGAATGTCTAACAACTTAGTACTATAGGTTATCCTAATGGGAGGAGGATCTTTATCACTTATGTACAGTTTGTTATTTCTGTCTACCCATCTGCCAACTTATGTACAGTTCATGTTATCTCTCTTTACCCTTCTGCCTTGTGAGATGCAGAAATTGGATCCTTTCCTTCAGTATTTGTGCATATGGGTTAAGAGGAGATGCATCAGCCTTTCTTTTATCAGTATATTTGAGTGACAGCAGATCTAAGACTACTGTTTTTTTCTCTTTTAAATATTGGTTATATTTCATCCACCTCCTTTGAGGAGGTTTGGCTTAACTATAGGTGGACTCCTGAATTTAGGCAGAGGCATTACTTTTGATGGAGGTTTTTATGAATTTGATGAAGGTCCTTTGCAAATTTTCAGGGATGTATGATATTTTTCAGGATTTTAAGGAAGGTTTCTAACAAATTTTGATACCAGTGGAGTCTGCTTGTGTTTTAGTCTAATCTCAGAGAAGGCTAATGTAATTTCCTAAATATGTTTCTGTGAACTTAATTTCGAGCAGCTAGTACCCATTTTATTAGCAAACATGTTGTTAACTTGTTATCAGTAACAGACTGTCTTTGGATTATTTATATGCAAATTTACTTCCTTTTTTTTTTTTAATTTCTTTTTTCTTTTGTCCAAGTCAATTCTTATTCTTTTCATTTTTTTCTTTTTCTTTATGTGGATTCAGACTTTACAGTGCCTGAAGGAAGAAAGAGATGCTGCTTTTCGGCAAACACAGCTACTACAACAGGATCTGGTATGTGTTCCTTTTTGATAAATATGTTATTGTATTTTGAGGTACTTTTGTAGTTGATAAAATTCTAATGGTTGTTAAATTGCTAAAGTCCTACCAAAGAAGTTGGTTTCTTATAGGAATACCTACATGCATATGATCTGCCCTTCTCTAAAGTGAATCTTACATGTATCAACTATAGAAACTTAACATAGACTTGCAAGTGTAACCTCCCTCCGAATTTTCATCACGTTGCGCTAATTAAGTGAAATAAAAATCCACGAATGAAACTCTGGAGAAGCCAAATATTTAGTAAAATATATATTTGGCAACTACAAAAGAAGGAAGGATTGGGATTTCTGGTTGATGATTCCTAAGAAGGTAACTATAGGATGATTGAACTGGCAACTTACTGTAGATAGATTGTTTCATTCATATATATTGTGACATGTAAAGAATATATAATTATAGGTCTTTTGCTTTTGTCTTTTAGGACATGCTGAAGAGACGACGAAAAAATGATCCTGGTTTCTCTTTAATGTTTGCTGGTTTTGTTGGAGTAATTGGAATCATGGTGGGGTTCCTCTTGAACCTTTTATTGTCTTCACCCCCCACGACAGAATGAGTTGACGCAAGTAATGAATGCAGGAGCAAATGTTAATCTATTTGATTGTATAATTTTGGTTGTTCTGTTGGGTGGAAAGTTGGCCTACTTCCTTCTTTTTGTATATTGGATCTTTGTCAAATTGTGCCTTCATCAGTTTGTTTTCCCAATATGTTTTATTCAATTTATATGTTACTCTTAGGTTGAAATTCAGTAGATAGTTTCTGTCATTTTTTTTTTTTTTTTTTTAAATCATAACTCTTCGGATAGAAAGCTTCCAACTGATTTTTTAGTTATTGACAAATTGCAATTGCCGTCTTTGAGCGTTTATTTTAAGATTAATATTGCATTTACAAAATCTTTGTATGAAGTGGTGTTGCACAATAGAAAGGTAAGAGTGAATACACAAAATCAACTAATTAATTGATACCTCATCTAAAGGGATTTTGCATTCATTTTTTTAAACAAAGCTTTGTAAATATGGTATTTCTCTTTTATATTAGCACTAGATAAACAATAAAATGTCTCTAGGTAGTAAAGATGTTGGAGCCTGGAGGTAATTGTGCCTTTAGATAGTGATCTGAATCTCCGTCCATTTGATTAGGAGCATAGCTTTACTCTTAAGTCTTAAGCTCCAGAGATAATCATAACCAACTTCCAACTTTGCACTTGTTTAATGGCGATAATACATTCAATGATGTGTCTGAATACAATAATCTTTTTATTCTTCTAATTAAAAATCTATTTAATTTTAGGGACAACTTCAATCCGCATATTTTTATTCTTCACTACATATTAAACGAAGCAAAAATCAATTAAAAATATCAGCCGTGGGGAATGAAATCATTTAATGGGGGAATAAGCCAAAACATCCTAAATGGTTATTAAACCACTAACACCAACTAATTTGAATTTGCCTAGTGATACAATATAACCACATAATTAAACAATGATAATTTACTTCTGAAACCCATTCCGCCTCTGAGATCATGACATGATTACACAATATTTTGCATGAGGAAGCTTAACTCTAAATATAAAATTTCTTAGGCTGTTGCCACCGTGCCAAACTTCTGGCCAAGGAGCTGAGAAATGAGATTTTGGTGGAGCTCATTTCTTCCCAAATCTGTAAATGATGGACCCATATCCTTGCTTCATTTAATTTTAATCCGCATAACTTGAAGAATAAAACTTACCCGTAAATTTAACTTAAAAGAATGTAACATATTAAAGGTTTGATTAGATTTTTAATTATTTACATAGGAAATAGAAGAGGTATGCCAAAACAAGAGCTTATTGTTTTTAGAAATAAAAAAAGATTAATATGATATGTGATGGTAAGTTAATGTATAAAATTCAAGTTTATAAGGATTTAATTACAATTTCTTTAAATATTTAAGTTGATTAATGATTTGGTTGGGATAGTAATTTTGATAGATCCCAAGGATAATTTGCTATTATTTATAAAGTCTTGGGGTGCAACTGTTTTCTTATAAAACCTTGAGGAAAAAAAATAATAAACATAAAGTGCTGGGGAACTATCCTAAAAAAGATTCCCCGGGCGCAAAAGTTCTATTTTTAATTTTTCAGTCATCCACATAGTTTGGCGGGAACTCGCACGTGCTAGATCTCGAATTTCAATCGTGCCACATTCCCGCCTCAATCTCCACATTTTCTCAGTGGATTCTCCCAACTTCTTTCATTTTCCAACCCTAAACCCTTTCGCTCTGCACTCCACTCCTGATGCTAAATCGCCAACTTACCACCGAGTCATCACCGGACAAGGCATGGCACATCTTGGCCCTCCTCCTCTCCCTTGGCCGGCCGGCCTCGCTGGCCGAGATCTCCTCTCGATGCACACTCTTCCCCGCAACTCCCAACCTCATCCACTCCCTCTGCCAAATTCCTTACTCTCCCATTTCACTTACAAAGGATTTCTCTGTCACTCTCTCTGTAACCGCCTTCCTATCTTTCACCGAACTCGTCGCCAAAAATATTGTTCCTCTAGATTCTCCCAAGCCTCGGATTCAGCATGGGTCCTGCTCCGAAGACTTCTTGAGCGTGCTTTTTAGGAAGCGAAAACGATCTCCTTTTGATGATTCTGATGGCAGTGAAGGTATTTTCTTTTGTTATTCTTTTTTATACATTTTTTTTTTTAAATTCTGGTTTGCATTTTAATTTGATGTTGTTTTGTCGGTATTTTTTCAGTAACATTGCCTAAGAGGATTCGAAATGCTTCTGCAAAGGTAATTTTACTTCTAATAAATTTAAAATTGAGTGATCTATCTACAGTTTAGTAATCTTATCTCGTGATTTCTGATTGATTTGCTATCTTTAGTTTTTGTATTCTTTGATTCTTACTTTTTGAATCAGTTGTTACAAATTAGGACGTTAATGTCAGTTTTTGGATAAGTCACAAAGAGTCAAAAACATTGTTTCTTCGTATTTTTTTTTTAATGATTATGAATATGTTTTTAAGGATATTGTAGATCAAACTTGATCCATATTCTTTCTTCTGCTTCCCATGGAGCAGACTCACTTCTTTTTCATAAGAAGCTGGTATAATTTATTTATTTATTTTTTTAGTAGGGTTAGTAATTAGTATAGCTGTCTCTGAAATATTGGTGATGTAGAATCCAGTAAATTATTGCTGCAGGTATTTCATCAAATAACTGATGGTGTCAGCAGAAGCATAAATACACAGCGAAGTCGCATGTCAGTCATGTTAAATCAAGTGGTGCTTGAGCCTCCCTTATTTCTTAAATTCAGTTCTGATCAGTTAAATTTTAAGCTCTGGGAAGTTGGAAACGTGGAAGGTGAAGCAGATATGAATACATTTGCACTAAGGATGGTGCCAAAAAGGTTAATGATTAGCGGGTCTAACTTGGAATTAGATCTTCCAAGTAGATTATTTCATGATAGGCATCTGAATAGAAGCATAAGTCATAATGCCCCATCTTGTCCAGAAGATGCCAAACAAAGCAGTATACTTTCTGCTGATTCTGGGGTTATTAATGATGGCAGTAGAGCTACAAGTATTGCAGCTATTGAATGCGAAAGGATTGGTGAAGGCAAGGAGGAAGAACAATTAATTGAGTTAGATAGTCTGAAAGGAAAAGGAACTCTCTCCCCGGTGTTAGATACTGCTCTGATTGATATCCGTCCTGATAGAGAATCTAATAGGACTAACACTTTGATTTCTGGTGGTAATGAACTAACATTGGATAAAGATCCCATCACTATGCATGTGAATGACAGGGTTATCTCATCAGCAACTGAGCTTCCTGTTGCCAATAAGCTGTTGAGGAAACCCTTTTCCAGGAAAGATTTTCGTCACAAGGATGGAATAGATTCAAAACAGCAAACTCTCAGCAAGTTCTTGGGGCGACATAAGGCTTTTAATACTTCCAAAGATGAGCAGCACTGTAAAAGAGATTTGGTGTCAGTCGTTGTTGGCCTGAAGGCAAAACGGAATCAAAATGACATACAAAAGGGAAACTCTACCTCTATTTCTCCTAAGGTAAGCTCCTAAATTGTAACAGAACCACATCCTTTTTGTGATAATTACCTGATCTATAATTTGTATTATTCTAAATGATACTAGAGCTGTTTCCCTGAGTGCAGCTTGTGAACCTTAGTCACATTTAATTGTTATTTTAGATGCATTGTTTCTTGCTTTGTAGGATCAGGCAAAGCAAAAAGTACTACCTAACTTTGAATCATATATTGTAGAAGAGGAAGAAGGTTCAGGTATTTTTTTTTCTCTGTTCCTATCCATGCCAACCTCATTATTCTTTCGTGGATTTTTGTGTAACCTTCCTTCCAATCAGGTGGCTATGGCACAGTTTTCAGAGCACGGAGGAAGAGTGATGGAACTTTAGTTGCTATTAAATGTAAGCAAGACATCTTACATTTATTTTTGCTTACGGATTTATGAATATGGTTGATGCTAATACAGTGTACACAGTAGTGATATGTGCTTGGGATCCTAGACAATCTTCCTATTCCTCTTGCTCCAAAAATTTGGAGTTTCTTGAAAACCATTTTGATCTTGTGTTATATTCTGGTTTCCATGACAATGCACCCACAAATCACACTGCTTTAATTTTTTAAGAAGATAATGCTTCAACTTCATGAAGTTGTCAATCAACTAAAGCAGGAATGTATGATCCCCTACTGACAGTTCATAAACTTCAGCCAAGAATAGTCAAAATGAAGTGTGTTAATTTAATGTTCTTGAATCTGAGTCTGAGTAATCTAGTTGATGCATCCATGACCGGAAGGTAGCATCAAGAATGTTGGGAAATCTATGTCACCAATGCATGGAATATATATTCTGGATTCTTATGATAGTTCTTGAACTTTGTGTTGCTTTCATTCATGCATTAGCATTCATCACAGCAACGGCTTTTCTGTAGCACATTTAACATGAACACTTAAGAGCATGTGAAGGACTGGATATTTCAAGACTTTGGGCATTATCTGTAGTAATGTGTTTGAAAATTTTGTCAAATTAAGCGTGGAAAGGAATGCCTAAACTAGTTAACCATGAGTTTCCTTAAAACACCCCTTAAATATGCTTAATTTCTTGCTTCAAGTGTTCTGTAAGAGTAAGTACCCTGTGTCAAAATTGCTTTAAGGGGAAAAAGAAGCATTAATGTGGATGCAGTATTTACACTTGCACTTTACTATGACCTAGAATATAGGAAGCTAATGAACAAGTTAGAGAATGTATGTAGAGGATTGCAGCAAGTGTTTTCTAAGATAATAGCACTTCCCTGATTTCAAATTTCTTGTTCATGACTTTGCAGGCCCTCATGCAAATGCTAATAAACACCATGTTAACAATGAACTGAGAATGCTGGAGCGTTTTGGGTAAGATTGCTGATTAAGTTTGTTATATGATATCTTCCTTTTGTTTTGACTTTTGAGGTGAAGAAGTTGTGAATTATCACAAGCAAGTGATATTTTCCTTTCTTTTTTATTTTACTTATTTTTTTGATTCAGGGGAAAAAACTTTATTATAAAATATCAAGGCTGTTTTAAGAGTGGAGATTCTGACTGCTTGGTTCTAGAGCATGTTAAGCATGACAGACCCGAGGTAATTCTTAGATCTTCACTGACTATATGTTGTTCGTTTTCTGTTTGACTGTTGTTTTTGTTTTGTATATTAGGTTCTGAAAAAGGAGATAGATATTTCTGAGATACAGTGGTATGGCTACTGTATGTTCCGAGCACTTGCAAGTTTGCATAAGCAGGTCTGCAGTTTGACAAATATGTTCGACATAGATTTACATTTTTACTTGAATTACATATCTTAAGATGTTTTATACATTTGCAGGGAACAGTTCACAGAGATGTTAAGCCTGGAAATTTCCTTTTCTCTCGTAAGGCAACTAAAGGTTATCTTATTGATTTCAATCTTGCAATGGTAAGTGACACTTGTCTTCATCGCCTTATATGCTTCCTTGATTTGTTTCTACTAATCTTTTCTCCCTGGTTTTGTGATTGAAGAAAATTGCTGACTCCTTGTTTTGTTCTTCACTTCTGCAGGATCTGCATCACAAGTATGGAATTATAAGTAAGCCTCCATATCTGTTGAGTTAATATATTAGGAAATAAAACTGGCAAAATTTTAGAAATGAACACCTGACAGGCTTCACCTTAAGGTGGTTCTATATCTGATAGACAACTAGTAGAAATATAAGTTCATCTAATGAAAAAAAATATATATATATATTAGGATAAATTTGACAGTTACTAATTAGATCGTCTGCTCAACTGTATCTATTCCTTCACTTCTCTTTTTGCAAAATTTCTTAGTTTAACCATCTTCTCTTTCTAAGTTCAAGTTTAAAAAAAAAAAAAAAAAAAGACGTGTGTCTTCTGTATGAGAACAATGTGTTTGCACCAAGATTCCTGGTCTTATTATCACATGATTAGACAATAAGAATTAATGGAGCTATATTTTAACTTTTTACAGACAAATCAAAGGTGGGGTATGATGTAAGCTTAAATCATGTTACTCTTCCTAGTGCAAAATACATACCTCCTACCAATAGTAGGAAGGTTCCAAGTGGTAAAACTTTGGCTGCAGTCAACCAAGAGGCAACCAAGGGCTCCAATTCTACTTTAGAACATAAAAACCTGAAGAGAAAGGCTGCAGGACAAGCAAAAGCCTGCAACGACTTGGGTAGTTGGAGCATGATCAACAGTCAAGGTGCAGATGGCTCAGGCATAACCTCTACAAAAGATGTGACTAGCACGAAGACTCCATCTGCAGAAAGGTTGAGAGAACCTTTACCATGCCATGGTAGGAAGGAGCTCATCAGCCTACTACAGCAAGCAATGCAGAGTCCGAATCATCAAACATTACATTTTCCAGCTCCTATGAGAAAGCGGGTTGCTGCCCCTCCTGGAAAAGTGGATAGAGAGCTTGTGTATCTTACTCCAATGCCTCTGCACTCGAGTGGTATTGCTGTTGCTGGAGCTGGCTTGAGGAATAAAGGTTTGTTTCATATGTTAGATTTTAAAATATTTGATTAGACCAAACTGTATTTTTTTCCTGTAATTAAACATATTTTCTTGTTATTAGGAAATGCCAAGAACAAAAAAGAAGGTCCTTGTGCTGGAACCAAAGGATTTCGAGCTCCAGAGGTGAGGCATCATAAACAACTTCACTTAATGCTTTAACACTGATCCATTACTAGGTTACCTATTTTATTGGCCCCAACACTTCATGAAAGACTTGGAAGTGCTGCAGCATTGTGTTTTTCTGGACTGAAAAACTTAGATGCTTAGAGATATGCATGTTTATATTAGTTAGCGAAGAGAGTTCTCCTTAGAATCGTTTATAAGACTCTTCTTAAGACACTCCTATTGCATGCTAATTTCTATGAATCATGAAGTCTCAAATCAATTTGTGAAACTTGGGAAAGAGATGGGAGTAGCAAATTGTTTGCCGTTTTTGGCTCAGATGATGGATTGGATCAAATAATCTAATCCTTTTTCTCCCCTTCAAATTCTCTCTTAGTTGTATTTGTGATTGGAGTGTCATCAGATTTAGTAATTTTGATAAAAATCAATCTGAGGAGCTCCTCATGAACCCAGCCTGTTTTACCAAGGACAGAATAAATTTTGGGTATATCAGGGTAGAAGATTTTATGGCTAGGGAGAGGACTACAGCTTACTTAGCATTTTATTTGGTCTCTCTCAAACATTAAAATAAGTGAGTATATGAGATGATTACTTGTGTTGATCTTGTTTCCAATGAAACAAATGGAGCCTCATGTTTATTTGCTTGTGCAGGTTTTGTTTAGATCTCAACATCAAGGTCCAAAGGTTGATATCTGGTCCGCTGGGGTCACCTTACTCTATCTAATGATTGGAAGAGCACCGTTTTTTGGCGATCCTGAACAGTAAGAATCCCTTTGTTTGATCCAAAACGTATAATGCAGTTTCATGATAGTAATTGATTTTGCCAACTAAATCTCTGTTACCCTCAGGAACATAAAGGAGATTGTAAAATTGAAGGGTAGCGAAGAAGTATGGGAAGTTGCTAAACTACACAACCGGGAATCCTCATTCCCTGAGGTATTTACAGTATTATGATCTATTAAATGCCAAATTAAATTAATTATAAAGATGCATATTAATCTACTCATTTTATTTAAGGACCTCTATGATACGCAATCTTTGGGACCTATGAACCTACGGGAGTGGTGTAAAATGAACACAAAGAGACAAGACTTCCTTGGGGTAATCCCAAGTTCACTTTTTGATCTAGTGGACAAGTGCTTGACGGTAAACCCAAGACTGAGGCTCAGTGCAGAAGATGCTCTCAAACACGAGTTGTTTGCTCCATGTCATGAAAGCCTGAAAAAGCACAAGTTGCTCAGGCAGGGGGTCGCCCTTGAGAACACAACTGCCCATCAATCACAAAAACAAAGCTTTGCTGGGCCTGTGAATTTTTCTCGGTAGCTAGCTTTTCGAAACTTAAATCTGTAGTTATTGCTAATTCTTTGCTTGCAGCTGTTGTGGCCATTCACAATTGCTGCGAAGGTATGAGCCAGCTTAGTTTTATTTTAAATCCCTTGTAAATTTACTTCTTAGTTACGTGTTGAAATAGCAAGTGTATCAATTACATGAATAAATGTGTTTATATTCTAAAGCACTTGATAAAGAAAAGCATTGACACAGAGGTCAGGAATCCCTTACGTGGTGTGGTGGGACAGTAATTGTAATTCTCGGGGAGAATTCACATTCAGTTGTAAAACAAGTAGTTGAGAAACTGAAAAGCTGAAAGACACTCCTGTGGAGGAATGAAATTATAAAAACAAACTGGTAGGGTACTCAATAAAATGTTTTGTTATTGATGAAATATCGAATATTACCCTTTGCCACTCGTTATTAACTAAACCAAACCAGGATTCATGACATGGCATGGGCAAGAGACAGTGTCTTACTGACGTGTCAAAATATGATTGGTTCTATGACGTATCTTCAAGAGAAATAGCAGTGGATATTTCTTTTTGCGAAGCGATGTTTATAATATAATATAATAAAGATCCCTTGCTTGTCACCATCTAAAATTTGTCAACTTTATATAATATAGTATTGTCTCTTCAATATCTCCGAATTTTCCAGATCCACCTTTCTATTTCCATAATTACCCCTGATTCTCATGGATAATTCGAGGACCGGAATTTGTCAACAGTCAACGTGACTTGCCACCCACCCAAATTATAAGTCGTTCTCACATTCACCGTGTAAACGGGTCTAGATCGGGTATTATTTATTTATTTAACGCTAAATTACTATCCTTAGCAAACTACCATTACAACCCCTATTTTACAAAACTATCAATGTGACACCCAATTTTAGTTTCTATTAAGCTGAATTTTAATTTGACTGACTTTGACCGATCAAATACCAATTTTACACTTGTAATAAAAATTACAGTATAATATAAATTAAACAATTACAAAAAATTAAAATCATGAATAATAAAAATATATCACTCAAAATTAAACAAAAGACAACATAAATCATTCAACACAAGATCAAAATCATCCACACAAAATTATAGTCCCTTCATCCACCAAAATTTACTCCAAACAAATATAGGCACACCAAACTGGTGAAATGGAGGGATGTTTCTTGGAAACCCATGACTAAAATACTCTTTTCTATTTCTTTATAGATGATTGATGCAAATGGAGCATTTGGACTCGATGTAACACCTGCAGTATATTTCTCCAAAAAGTGTATTGGGTTCTTTAAAGTTGAAAAATCAACGTTAGAATTTAATATATAGTAAACATCACCAATGTATTAAGGGTTATTTTAACTTGTACTTTGAGGGCACATGTTAATGATACTAGAAGACAAAAAAATTACTTATTTCATTGCATATTATATACAAAAAAAACTCAATTTACATATATTGAGATACTAAATTTTTTGTCTCTTAATGTTTTAAGACAATCTATATATAAAATATGAAATAATGGATAGGTTTGATTTTCATGTTTTGAATCCCTTACTAAGCACCGCCTTAGTTAAGGAAGAAAAAAACATAATTCTAAACCTTATCGAGCTCTTCGATAAGGGAGAAATAAATTCTAGAATTACCATCAAATAAACTATAAAGCTTGGCAGATACTAATATATTTGTTTTCCAACTCATGAGCGCTAATATATTTGTCCATCACAATTTACAAAATCACTACCCCCTTCACCTACCAACCCCTTCTCCAAATTATTTACACTCGTTGCTAATTCATCACAATAGTAAACTCAATCATGACTCATTAAAACAAAAAAAGAAATTACAAAATTATATATATATTACATACCCTAACTAAAAATAAAAGAAAATTCTGTTAAACTGAATTTTAACGGTAAGAATCAACACCATATCATTTATAGTTAGTTTGTGGCCAAGTTGCTGCGACCAAGCCAAGAAAATGGCAAGCAATTACGGCCCATGCTATGATAAGATGATTTGGCAAACTGTGGTGGTTAACTATATGATTGGTCAATCATGAGCGATGTTTATATATATTTTTTTTTTTGTCAATCATTGACGATGTATATATTTTATAATTTTTATTATTTTGTGGGATTTTTTTATATTTAAATTTTGCATTTTTATAATAGGGTTTGATGAGGGTTAGGGATTTGGTTAACTTACATAAAAGTGGAAATGATATAAATACCTTTCCTTGTTAAATGTAACAACTGAATTTGAAAAATAGGTGGATGGTTGATTGTTTTTCAAACGTAGGGTGGAAAAGTCTTAAGGAAAAGTTAGTGTGGCAAAATGTAATTGGCCTTTATTTACAACCCTAACCTAATCGCTTACGGACCCAAAGACTGTACACAATTGTAATAATAACTGGTTAAGGGTACTATTGTAACTCGGCATAGCCTAGAAGTTTCTCATGTAACTTCCTTGCTTTACGATTATAAATATGACCAGAATTTCCTTTTTTTCATCATTTTGAAGTTGCTCTTACTTTCTCTCGATTTCAAGGCAATTTTCTCGCGGTTTCTCTTGATCCAAACAAAAATGGATGCTTTTTCTTCCTTCTTCGAGTCTCAAAATGCATCTCGATGGAACTCTTTCAAGAACTTTAGCCAGATCTCTCCCGTCGTGCAGTCTCATCTTAAACAGGTAAATTCATGTTGATTTGTTTTCTCGAGAACATGTAAATTTCTCAATATTTAGCTGGAAAATTTAGAATCATGCGATCTTTATCATAGTTTGCTGTAGTGTTTCAATAGGACACTCTTGTAGCCATAATTTTGTCTTGATACATCTAGAAGGTGTAGTCTTATTAGAATATTTAGGTTTCTATTTAATTCTAGTCTATTTGCGTTACGGTTTTCGTATAGATGTATAGTTTGGTCATAAAATTGATAAATGATTTCGATGGTCCAAGGGGCTATTGTATTGGAAAATCTTTATTTCTGTTTGGTCGCCGTGAAATATACAAGTCGAGAGAGGATTTCTGGCTGTTAACGTTATGGAAACTTATTGTCAGTCAATGGATTCTTTTGATGTATCTACTTTGTGAGCTCAGAGAATAGGTTGATCTCATCCATGAGTATGTATTTTTCAATTAGGTTTTCTGTATTTGTTTCTTTTCTCATCGAAAAAGCGGCTTCTGCAATTTTCTAGGTTTATCTCTCCTTATGTTGTGCCCTTGTTGCATCGGCCACTGGAGTCTACCTGCATCTCCTCTGGAACATTGGTGGTCTCCTTACAACTTTTGCAATGCTGGGATGCATCTTTTGGCTGCTCTCAACCCCACCTTATGAAGAGGTACTGTCGCTTTATTTGTGTTCTCGTGTTTTTATTCTGTTTCTATAATGTTATGAGAACTCACTTCTCATTTTGATTTGTGTTGCATGGTGAGTAGCGAAAGAGAGTTGGTCTACTGATGGCAGCTGGCCTTTTTGAAGGGGCCTCAATTGGTCCTTTGATTGATTTAGCCATTCAGATTGACCCAAGGTACAAGTCCAGTTATATTTTGTTATTTTCTATTGTATCATATGTTCAAGCTATGAGCTGTGGTTTTATATAAGTTAGATTACGGTGTTTTGGTTATTATTTGATAGGCACTTTCCATAAACTGTGGCTACAATTTAGCAATTTAGTTATTGTTTTACTTTTGAACTTGGTTGTACTCAAGGGACATATATTCTGATTTGTAAGCAGAGAATAGTTTGACTAAAGTTTCAATGCACGAGAATTTCCTGAGAGCGGGGAATTTTTTCTCATCTATCTGATATTCTTCTTCACTGCTTTAATAAACATTTGACTTCTGGGAATTATTGAGTTAATGCCCGAATTTAATTTGGGTGTGCTTCTAATTTGTGTTGTTATTTCAAATTTTTCTATAAGTGTAATTATTGAGCATTTAGTGCTTTATACTGTGTTAAGTTTATGTGGTCATACCTCTCAGCTAAACCCTAAAAGATTTCTTCCTCCTTTGGTTTATATGTCTTTACGATACTTTAGTTAGAAAGTGTGCTTATAGCGCCAAATTTTCTTATGGTAATGGAGCTAACTTGTGCGGTTAAGTGCTTGGGTGATCCTTCCAGTGTGGAGGTCTATTTCAAACTTATGCTTCTTGAGTTTGTTAATTGTTTTCCAACTAACTTAAGACATAATATTATGATTGAGTTTTTTATGAGATGGTTGATCGTAAAATTAACTTTGCTGATTATGAAATATATATCTTTTGTTACAGCATTCTGATCACAGCATTTGTGGGAACTGGGTTAGCCTTTGCATGTTTCTCAGTAGCAGCTATGTTGGCAAAGCGAAGAGAATATCTTTACCTTGGTGGCTTGCTTTCATCAGGCCTGTCAATGTTATTCTGGTTGCAGTTTGCTTCCTCTATCTTTGGGGGCTCAACAAATATCTTCAAGTTTGAGGTGAGAAGATGATTACTTGTTAACTTTCTTATGGTGACAGTTTTGTTGGGTTAGTTGGATATTGTTGTTCACAGATGACATTATTTAATATTCTTTTGATTGTTTGCAGCTGTACTTTGGGTTGTTGGTGTTTGTGGGATACATTGTGGTGGACACCCAGGATATAATTGAGAAAGCTCACTTTGGCGATCTGGACTATGTGAAGCATGCCCTGACCCTTTTCACTGACTTCGTTGCTGTATTTGTCCGTATTCTCATTATCATGGTAAGTTAAAATGCCAGGGATATTGTTACCACCAATTTTGATTATAATTATTATGGTTCATAATGTTGATTATTTTTGTTGAGCAGCTGAAAAATGCCAGTGAGAAGAATGAGAAGAAGAAGAAAAGAAGGGATTGAAAGAGTGGCTAGTTGGTGAACTCCACTTGTTTTACTTAGGGTTTCAAACAATGAAATTTATGTATATATTTGTTTTCTGTTTCTGTAAACTTTCCTACAGCTAACTATACGAAACTGTATTCATCTGGCCCTGGTGTTGGAAATATGTGCTCTGTGGGGGTAATAGTGTCTGTGTTCCCTTAAATTTTGGTGATTGTATATGGCTGCATTTCCCCTTGGATTCTGACATGTCGGTTTCTGCTCTCTCTAAATAAAGTCACTGTTTGCAGTATTACATTGGTTTGTTCAAACTATGGCATCTCGAGTATATATCACTCCAAGTTTAGAATAGGTGGTGTTTCTTTGATTTTGATTTTGATTTAGTTGACAAACTCTAGTTTTCGGTTTATCTAAGTCACTTAGACATAAAGTAGCACTTCAACGGTCTTTAAAGAATTTTTGTTGGAGTCTCGAATTGTCTTATTTGAAATAAAGGGTTTTAGGTTTGTGCAATTGTTAATCAGTGATTTCGACCAAGTACTTGTAATGCCAATCTTTGTATATTTGTTAGTAAGTAAGAGTATGTTATTCTATACAAAAAGTAAAAAGTAAATCTTAAATAACGATGGAAACCCCTTCCTATTGAATCAGACTCCGCACAACCACACACGGGAACAGTGCACAATATAGAGAGAAGACATGATTTAATGGAACCCAAATGGTATATTTCATATATGTATTCAAAATAACAATGGAAAAGTAGTAAACAGAGATGAAATAAGGAGATAGAATATGGATCCTAGCACTTCGAGGAGTTAGGGACTTCCCAATCAATTCCTAGAATTGCAGTAAACAGAGCCACTTTGTCTTCAAGGTGGAAGTGAGGAAATTGAGTGTTGATGACTTCAAAGGGTGCCCAAGTTGCTTCGAAGGTAGGGAGATCTTGCCAACGTATGAGCACCTCCTTGGAGCCATCTAGAAGGGTCTGCACGGCTAAGACTTCAACTAGTTGAACCTGGAGTTCCAGGTCTTCTATGAGAAAAGGGGTAAAGGGCTGAACGGGGACTGATCTGTGAAGATTGCGCTTAAGCTGGGACACATGGAATACGGGATGAATGCGGGTTGTGGGCGGAAGTTCCAGCTTATAGGCCACCTGATCGACCTTCTCTAGCATTGGGAAAGGACCATAAAACCTTGGGCTAAGTTTCTCATTCAATTTTTTTTGCCAAGGATTTGAATTTGTAGGGCTGAAGCCTAAGGTAAACATGGTCACTTGGAACAAAGTTGATATCTCTACGGTGGTGGTCTGCTTGCACTTTCATGTGGACTTGAGCACTTTCCAGGTTGTGCTTGAGTTCCTGGAGGATGGCATTGCGCTCTCAAATCTGGTGGTTCACATCCTCCACCGGGGAGGGACAATCGGTGAGCTTAAAGAGGGTAGGTGGGTCACGACCATATAGTGCCTTAAAGGTTGTCATTTTAGTTGATCGATGATAAGTTGTATTATACCAAAACTCAGCCCAAGAGAGCCAATTCGGCCAGTGATGGGGCTGAGAACTGCAAAAACATCTCAGATATGCCTCCAAGCATTTGTTCACCACTTCGGATTGGCAGTCCGTTTGTGGATGGTAAGCAGAATTGAACTTCAAAGTTATCCCTGAAACCTTGAAGATTTCTTGCTAGAATTGACTCATAAAGAGTCTATCTCGATCTGAGATGATGGACTTTGGGAACCCATGGAGTTTCACAATCTCCTTCATAAAAATTAGGGCCACCTCATTAGCATTATAAGGGTAGGACAAGAGAAGAAAATGACTATACTTAGTCAATTGATCAACCACCACCAGGATACTATCAAACCCTTTTGCTCTCAGAAGTCCTCCAATGAAGTCCATCGTCAAATCATCGAACACTTGAGATGGAATAGGTAAAGGTTGTAGCAACCCTGTGGCCTTAAGGGCGGAATGTTTGTTGACTTGGCAGGTTATGCAAGTTTCAACAAAATTCTGAACATCATGATTGGTTCCTTCCCAATAGGCCACATTTACCACCCGTTTGTAAGTCCAAAAAAATCCCGAATGACCCCCTCCTAGATTGGAATGAAATTCAACCAACAACTTACTAATAAACCGAGATCCCTTGGGTAAAACTAATCTCCCTTTGTAAAGTAAACAGCCACGGCGTAGTGAGTAATATGGATGGTTGCTAGAGTCCACAAGAAGGTCTTGAATAATGTGTTGGAGCTTGGGGTCACGTTGGGCTTCATTTTCCAAATCTTCATACTCATCAAACTGAATTACTGAAATTGAATTAATGGCTGGAGCTTCCTCTCTTCTGGACAGTGCATCAGCCACCTTGTTGGTGGTCCCCGAGCAATAGTGAATATCAAAGGAGAAACCCATTAGTTTGGACAACCATTTTTGCTGCTTCGGAGTTTTAACCCACTGATCTCGGAGGAACTGTAAACTTCTTTGGTCAGTTTTGATGATGAACTTCCTACCCAACAAATATGGACTCCATTTGTGTACCGCAAAGACAAAGACCATTAACTCTTTTTCATACACTGATTTTTGTTTGGCTTGGGGAGAAAATGCCTTACTCAAGTAAGCTATGGGTTGTGATTGTTGGACTAAAACTGCACCAATACCGTGGCCTGATGCATCAGTCTGAACCTTAAATGGGCGCTCGAAATTTGGGGCTGCTAGGACTGGGACAAAAGTCATGGATTCCTTGAGTTGTTCAAAGGCCCATTGTCCCTCATGGTTCGAAGTAAAGGAGTCCTTTTTTAGTAACATGGTGAGTGGTTGTGCTATACTTCCGTAACCTTTTATGAACCTTCGGTAGTACCTCTTGAGACCCAAGAATCCTCTTAAACTCTTCACATTCGTTGGAATGGGCCAAGAAACCATGGCTTCAATTTTTTTAGGGTCGCCTTCTACCCCCTTTGCCGAGACCAAATGGCCTAAATATTCTAATTTCTGTTGCCTGAATAAAAATTTCTTCTTATTCACTACCAACTTGTTCTCTTCCAAAATCTTGAGAGCTTGTTCGAGGTGGGCTAAATGGGACTCCCAATTAGGGCTATATATGAGAATATCGTCGAAGAAAACCAACACGAATTTCTAGAGGACAGGTTTAAAAATCACATTCATCAATGCCTGAAAGGTGGAGGGGGCATTTGTCAACCTAGTTAGTAAATACGGGTATGGCAAAAAAACGGTACGGGAATTATACGGGTATAATACGGCAAATAGTGAAAAATACATTTATAAAAATTCTGCCATAAAATTCGGATATGGGAAAAATATGGTACGGGAAAAATACGGTACGGGTATATACGGGTTTAATACGGTGTATTATCAATAATACGTTTTGAAAAATACGGCAATATCAATCTTAGTTTTAACACTTTTATGGACTACCTAGTTAAAAGCAAAGTATTCAATTAACCAATAACACAAATACACACTATATAACTGATATTCAAATTATAGTCTCCAGACTTAAACACAATATTTAGCCAAGATTCAACTATAGTGTCAAATTAAACACATAAGTCATAACAAAATCAAAATTCAAAGTCGAATAAGAGCTCCAAACAAATTTTTTACCTATATATATATGAGGCAACTATAAGATAGATAAGATGCCTTTTATTCATACCATACTTAAAGATAACCATGAGACTAACCTCATGGCATACAATGCTGCGAATAAATAAAATATTAAAAGAAACAAAACATGTTTCAAACCAAATGAGAGACACATTATGATAAATAAAATTAAAGACTCAAACACCCTGAGGCATGAATAAACTAAACAAACTGTGTTCTGGCAGACACCCTTTTCAACATTCTAAACCATCAAAGATTTCAGTAAAATACGTCTGAATCCAGGATGATTATATCCATGAGGAGGCATCATATTCGGATTGAAGCCAGCAGACTGAAGATCAAATGGAAGATTAATCCCTCCACCACTTGATGAACTCGCTCCAAGAAACTGTGGAGGACCAGAATTCTGGATCATAATCTTCTCAGCTTGCTTTGCCGCATTCTTCTTCAGCTCCTCTAACGTCGCTTTTAACTGCTCAAGCTGTGGCAAACTAAGGTCTTCAATCGGATTCTCCCACCAACATTGAGCCTAAGAAGCCTTCCTCATCTGAATAAGCTCTTCAATCGGATTCTCCCACCAGCACTGAGCCTGAGCCGAGGAAGAAGAACTGCTGACTGCCAAAGAACTGAAGAAGAACGACTGAACGAGATTTGTTTTAATTTTTTGTAAAAACCCACCAAAACGACGTCGTTTTGGGGGTGTGAGATTTTTTTTTTTTCAAAAATTCGCTAATAATTCATGAATAATTCGCGAATTATACGGGAAACCTTATTATACGCGAATTATATGGCAGATTTTATAAAATACGTATACGCGCATTTTATACGCGAATTATACGGCTGTCCGTACAATTCGCGTATAATACGCGTTTTTACTAACTAGGTTTGTCAAACCGAAAGGCATTACAAGGAATTCATAGTGCCCCTCATGAGTTATGAATGCCTTTTTTGGGACGTCTTCCTCTTTAACTCTTATTTGGTGGTACCCCCACCTAAGGTCCAATTTAGAGAAAACGGTTGCTCTCGCTAATTCATCTAACAACTCTTTGATGGTGGGAATGGAAAATTTGTCTAGGATGGTTATTCCGCTGACAGCCCTATAGTCTACACAGAACCTCCAACTCTCATCTTTCTTCTTGACTAATAATACCAGGTTGGCAAAGGGGCTAGTACTTGGTTGTATGATCCCTGCCGCCATCATCTCTTCTACCAACTTTTCTATCTCATTTTTTTGGAAGTAAGGGTATCTATAGGGTCTAAAGTTGGGTGGTTGGGTTGCTTCTTTAACGACTATGTCATGGTCATGAGATCGTTTTAGGGGTAGTTTGAAGGGTTGATCAAACTGGTGGGTGTATTTGGCTAGTACTTAGGTCACTCTAGGGTCTTCCTCCTTACCTTTATGTTCTGATTCACCTTCCATTGAACAACATTCTACCAAAAACCCTCCCCTTGTGTTACTAATGGACCGTAACATGGCTTTAAGAGATACTATTGATTTCACCAAAGAGCGGTCCCCTTGCCATCTTACTTTAGCACCATCCATCTCAAACTGTATTATCAAATTTTTCCAATTGGCACATACATTGCCTAATGTACTCAACCACGTAACTCCCAACACAACATCAACACCCCCTAAAGCAAATGGGAAAAAATCTTGTACAGGTCTAATCCCCTGTACTTC